GGCTAGTTGACTCGAGTCGCAAAGGAAAAATACACCATTGGGTCTCTTTTTTTAATCTAGGAGATACATGGGCAGGGCTACATTTCTGTGGGGTAAAATCTAGAAGGGATACAGCTGTGGATCCGCACATCCAACGCAATCTCACGGCAATTTGTAACTTTTTGATTTAGTGGCTAATTTGTATGAATTCGTACGATCTAATTCGTACAATTTAGTATGATTTGCTCATCACCCAATGATGGTAAGGGTTAGGGGTGGGGTTAGGTGCCACGCCTCCTTTTTAAAATCGTACATTTTCATACGACTGAACTTGTGCGAATTCGTATGAATACGCCACTTAACTGAAAAAACGTAAAATACTTACATTTCCTCGTGAGATCAGGCTGTCACATCAATATAGCATCATTTTTGTGACATTGTATAACAATAATTAATATTTTTACATTGCCCCCCCCCCACACACACAAATAGAAACACGGTTTTTGAGGCTAAGGCCCAGCTAAAGTCTCTCCTGATGGAGGATCAGAGCACACTACTGAGTGTACACCTGTTTTTCACATAAGCCTCTTTATGCCGCCGTGCCTCTTATATCTTTAAGCCATTCTCCAGGTGCGGCTCAAGTTTGCCATTGCTGTGTACTTAACATTGCACAATGAGTGATTACACTGGAAACTGCTTCACCCAGAATTATTATAACACCATGAGGAAAAATCAACTCAAACCATCCAGTCATCTAGAATCCATCCACCCATCAACTTATCCATCCATCCATCCATCCATCCACCCATCAACATATTTATCCATCCATCCATGCATCAACATATCCATCCATCCATCCATCCACCCACCCATCAACATATCCATCCATCCATTCAACCATCCAACCATCAACATATCCATCCATCCATCCCCCCTTCAACATATCCATCTATCTATCCATCCATCCAACCATCAACATATCCATCCATCCATCCCCCCTTCAACATATCCATCCATTCATTCAACCATCCAACCATCAACATATCCATCCATTCCCCCCTTCAACATATCCATCCATCCATACAACCATCCAACCATCAACATATCCATCCATCCATCCTTCCATCCCCCCATCAACAAATCCATCCATCCATCCGTCCGTCCAACCATCAACATATCCATCCATCCATTCAACCATCCAACCATCAACATGTCCATCAATCTATCCATCCTTCCATCCACCCATCAACATATCCATCCATCCATTCGTCCATCCACCCATCAACATATCCATCCATCCATCCCTCCATCCGCCATCAACATATCCATCCATCCCTCCATCCACCCATCAACATATCCATCCATCCATCAACATATCCATCTATTCCATCCATCCACCCATCAACATATCCATCCATCCACCCCTCCATCCACCCATCAACATATCCATCCATTCATCCACCCATCAACATATCCATCCATCCATCCATCCATTCATCCATCCGCCCATCAACATATCCATCCATTAATCAACATATCTATCCATCCACCAACATATCCATCCATCCATCCATCCATCCATCCACCCTTTAACATATCCATCCGTCCATATATCCATCCATCAACAAATCCATCCATCCGCCCATCAACATATCCATCCATCCATTCATTCGCCCATCAACATATCCATCCATCCATGCATCCATCCATCCATCC